ATCTTGATATTAACTATAGTAGGATTCATCTTCTTTAATATTCTTTCTTGAGTATTAATTAATTCCTATTCATATTTCATATTAATATTTTGAACATTACTTAAAGGATCAACTAGTTTTGTTTCATATATTAATTAATACTAGAATCGGTCGATTAATACGCTTGTTATTAATTCGGTCCTTTCATGGTAGTAAACTTGGATTATTAATGCATGCATCTCATGGTTAATAATCTAAGGGGAATTAATTATATTGATTAAACCAATAAACCGCTTGTGTTGAGGTTATCAATCTCAATCGTTTTCATCTTAAGTTTATTGCTACTATCAAGTTAATATACGGCGCTTGTTCTATATTGACTCGATAATAAGTTTTATTAATGAACGCTTCTCGTTATTAATAACTACTCTCGATGAACTGGATATACTCCTCGATTGAGTATTCGAGAGGAAGATAGTTAAAGATATAACCGGGATCGACGAACATTTCATTAAGTGGATAAAAGCAAAGCCAAGTCTTCTTCTCATTAATTAAACCACACAACTCGTTCATCTTCGTGCTTAAATATAATTTAAGTTCATAAACCAATCATAAAAACCCCCCTTGTTACTTATTTCTAATTCTATAAAAAGAGAAGTGTTCCTTTCCCTGTGGATACGAACCTTACTTCATTATACTACGTATAATTGTTGTATTGTATTATTATTTTGAGTGCACACCACGACAAAGTGCACGTCAAATTTGGCGCCGTTGCCGGGGAAAGGCAATTTATTTTTCTTTTTATTTCATTTAAAAGAAAAAAAAATAGTTGAAGTATAAAGATTTCTATTTCTTCTGAGTTTATTTGAGTATATGGTAAGAACCCGATCTATAAACGAAATCATCTACCAAACAAACCCCCAAACGGAACAAGCCTTCGAGAGGTTTAGGAATTTATTTCCGAATACTTTTTCGGAGGAATCATCAAGTGCTAGTTCTCAATCTAGCGAGACCGAAGAGCCAATCACTATGGCTCATGAAACGAGAACACTGAGGGAGCTCACGGCTCCGAATCTAGATCAACAACCTCTATGTATCACTTTTCCAACTCTTGATACGGGGTCACATTTGAGCTAAAATCTGGGCTCATTCATCTCCTTCCATCATTCCATGGCTTACGAGGGGAGGATCCAAACAAACACCTGTCGGAGTTCCACATTGTGTGCACAAGCATGTGCCCCAATGGTGTCTCCGAGGAGCAGATCAAACTGAGAGCCTTCCCATTCTCCTTGAAGGACACCGCAAAGGATTGGCTTTTCTATCTTCCTTCGGGAAGTATCACTACATGGCCACAAATGAAGAAGGCCTTTCTTGACAGGTACTACCCCGCTTCTATTTCATCATCACTCAAGAAGCAAATAAGCAACATCGAACAAAAAGATGATGAATCCCTATATGAATATTGGGAGAGATTCAAGAAGCTATGTGCAAGTTGCCCCTATCACGGATACAGCGAACAAGACCTCATCCTCTACTTCTATGATGGTCTTGTGGATCAAGATCGTCGCATGGTGAATGCGGCGTGTGGGGGGGGGCATTGTCAACAAAACCCCTTCACAAGCGAGAGATCTCATCTCGGAGTTGGCCGAGAATTCCAGACACTATAATGGACGGTCCTCAACTCGGAGGGTTATGGCGGCAGAATCCAACAACGCGTTGGAAAGTCAAGTGAACGGCTTGACGAGTCAAATGACCGGCTTGACTTCTTTGGTTAAGGATTTCCTTTTAAAATCCAAGACCCAAGAAGTCAAGGTCTGCGGTATCTGTACACAACAAGGGCACCCCACGGACTCATGCCCAACTCTTCAGGAAGACACCACAGAGCAAGTCAACGCCTTGGGTTTCCAAGGCCACCAACAAAGGAGGTATGACCCGTTCTCAAATTCTTACAATCCGGGATTGAGGGATCATCCAAACTTAAGGTATGGAAACCCTCAACAAGCCAACCCACCTTCCCAATCGAGTATGTCTACGGAAGACATGATTCGAACTCTTGCTACTACCATGGGCACCTTACAACAAAACGTGGTGCAATTTCAACAAGAAACAAAGTCAAGCATTCAAAATTTGGAAACTCAAGTTAGCCAAATTTCGAATGCTGTAAATCGACTTGAAGCAAGAGATTCAGGTAGGCTTCCCTCCCAAACTGAGCAGAACCCAAGGCAACAAGTCAATGCCATCATGCTAAGGAGTAGCCCGGAATTACAAACAAAGGAAGCTGAAAAAGAGGAGATTGACCACAAGGAGGAGGAGCCAACAAAGACAAAATTTCCTCCGCTGTCATCATATGAACCAATCCCTCCATTCCCTGAGGCATTGAAAGACACAAGGAAGCTAGAGAGTGATCGGGACATCTATGAGACCTTCGCGAATTGTGAGGTAAACATCCCACTCTTTAAACTAATCAAAAGTGTTCCCCGTTATGCAAAGTTCTTAAAAGAACTATGTATAATGAAAAGAAAGGATAAATTCAAGGGGAAACAAAAGGCTGAAGTTAGTGAGCATGTCTCGGCCATCTTTCAGGAAAAATTTCCAAAAAAATGCAGCGACCCAGGCATGTTCACTATTCCTTGCACGATAGGAAACACCACATTTCCTAAGGCCTTATTAGATTTAGGGGCATCTATAAACATCATTTCTTATTCCGTTTATAAAACCCTACAACTTGGCCCACTACATCAAACCGGTGTGGTGATTCAACTAGCAGATCGTTCTAGTACCTACCCGAAGGGTGTATTAGAAGATGTGCTAGTAGAAGTAGAGAATATGGTTTTTCCCGTCGACTTCTACGTCCTCGAAATGGGGAATGATGACCAAACAGCACCCATCCTTTTGGGAAGACCCTTCTTAAAGACCGCAAAAACACAAATTGACGTGTCTAGTGGTTCATTAACTTTAGAGTTCAATGACCAAAAAGTAGAGTTCAATATCTTTGACTCTACGAAAAAACAAATTGAAGATCAATCTCTTTGTTCTTTAAATGTTTTTGAACCACCAACACCAAATGTTTTAATTGAGTTGGGAACAAAGAAGAAAGGTCGGCCTTACTGGAAAAGGCTTAAGAAAAGAAATGAAGGAAGGGATGCTCACGATCCCACATAAAATAAAAATAAAAATAAATAAAACGTCGTGCCACGACGTTAAATAAGGCGCTTCTTGGGAGACAACCCAAGTCAGGTAGTTAGATTTTATTTCCTTTTCGTGTGAATTTGAGAAAAAGAGAAAGAGGGAACTAATCACATTTATTTTTTTTGAGAAGAAGAAAATGCAGGTTTTGAAGTATCTGGGGACACACTCGATCGAGTACCATCTCATACTCGGTCGGGTATGGTTTAAAAAAGAGGAACCGAGGCACTACTCGATCGAAGTAGCCATATTTTCCAAAAATGGAGACATACTCGATCGGGTATATTTCTTTACCCGGTCGAGTATGAGCTGAAATAAGAAGAACAAAAAAGCCTGCCTCCAGTACTCGATCGAGTACATGTTCATACTCGGTCGAGTATAACGAGAAAAAGTACTTTATTTCATCCCTGCCTCCAGTACTCGATCGAGTATAAGTTGATACTCGGTCGAGTATGCTCAGAAAACACCCATATTCTATCCCCTGTCTCCGGTACCCGATCGGGTATACAGGGATACTCGATCGGGTACCCCTGCGGATATAACCCCAAATACACCCCAAAACACTTCATCTTCCCCAAAACTCTCAAAAATTTCGAACAACCTCTCCCCCAAACTCCATTTTCAACCCTTCTCTCTACCATATCTCTCTCAATTCTCCACCAAATCAACCCATTCTTCCACCAAAATACTCCCCTTCCTCTCCTCTCCATATCTATACCCAAAATCCCATTTTCCCCAAACTTCCACCAAATCCCAAAAACCCTACCCCCATTCGAATTTTTGCCTCTTCAAGCTCAAATTCATCAACAATGGCACCAAGGAAGAATAGGGGAGAGAGCTCAATCACCATAGCACCCATCCCGGGCTTTGAAGACATCATTCCCGCCGACGCCGAACACCGAACTAGACTCCTAGCAACAACAAAAAGGCAAGTAAAACCTTCCCGTTTTCTATGCCATGATGCTCTACGTGAATTAGGAGTCTATAAGAGTTGTAGAAAATTCTTTCATGCATTAGATATGGACCGTATTTTCAATATGAAATACAATTCTAATGAACGAATTATCTACGAATTCTTGAGTTCGGTAAAGTTTGAAAGTGATGAGGCGGATTTTAGGGATGATAGACTCGAGTTTCGTCTGTTTAACCGAAATTATTCAATAACGAAACTCGAATTTGCTGAACACTTTGGTATCCCGGTGCCCTACGAGAGAGCCATCTTGGATAACACCATTTTTGGGCACTCCCTATGGACAAAGATGACCGGGGAAGTGAACTTTAACTCCTCCCAAATGTATATTAGTCATGTCCAACACCCCGTCCTCCGGTTATTCTTGAAATTCTTAGCCAATTGCTTGCTTGGCCGTCCCAACAACCATCACACTAGAATCGGGGACGTTTGTTTGATGTCCGTGGCCCTATTCCGTCGTCACGTCGACTTTAATCTGTGCAATCTCATGTGGGCACATCTAAAAAAAGAAAGCATTGCCAAAGGAGCTATTGTTTTGGGAGGGGTGATTATGCACTTGGCCGGTAAGTTCGGGTATACGGATAACTCTCCTATACCCGACTATTGTTTGATGGACATGGGTTGGTTAGGCCGCTCGGGATGCACCTCCTTCTCTCATACGGTGTATATTGGAGACCGACCAAAACACATGTACAACTGGATCATACACGTCCAACCGGTCCAATACTTCCTTTTGCCAAACCCTGACACCCCCAAACTCATCTACAGACCAGAGTTCGACGTGCCCCATTTCCTATTCCCACATGCCCTCCCACCACATCTCCAAGAACCTCAAGGCCAAGACCCCCCCGAAGATCAACCCGACCAAGAACCTCAACCCGAGCAACACGAACCCGAGGCTGCACTCCACCACATGCCCGAACAGAACAAAGCTTTCCCACCACCCGATTACTTCCAACAACTCCTTGAAGGGTTCAACAAAGTCACAAATGAAGTTGGTAAATATCGGGAGGAACAAAGGGCGGGATTCCAAAGACTCGAGGAACAACGGGCCGAGGACAACCGACGGTATGAAGAGGATCAACGTAGGTTCTATGGACCTATGTACTCGTACATGGCTCATCAAGGCCAATTCCATACCATGGCTCAACCACCCCCACCCCCTCTTGGTATGACCCCACTAAATGGGGTAATTTTGGAGGATCTAGCTCCGGGGGTGGAGGTTTTGATGGCGGGGATGACGGTGGCGATACTCACATGGGCGACGGGAGCTATGGAGGCGGCTTTGGAGGCAGTTACTATGGCGGAGAAGGCGGGCACTAGGGACAGTGCTTAAAATAAGTGTGGGGGAGGAGACTCATCATGGTATGTAATTTTTATTTTCACACTTTACTATGCATGAATTTCTTTTACTCTTTGTAAACAAAAAAAAAAGGATAAATAAAAGAATTGAAATGCTAGTTAGGTTGAAAACCCAAGAATGGGCAATCTAAGCAAAAATGGCTTATAAAAAAATGAGTGAGTTAGTAAGGATGGAAAAACAAAAAGAGATGCTAGGATGAAAACCTGAAAAGGCTCCTAGGCAAAATGAGAGATATGAGAGAAATTTTTGTTGTGTGCAGGAACTCACTTGATCTTTTGGGGAGAAAGAGGAGAAAAAGAGAAAAAAGAGAAGAAGAGGAAGAAGAGGCAAGATGATGGCGCATAGAAGATCATAAAACCCAAGAGAGAATGTTGTTTGTAAAATCATTTTTTATTTCTTGGTGATCTTAGCTCTTTTCTTTCTTGAACTCATGGAATGATCTTAAACTGTTTGAAACATTTGACTTTACTCGAGGACGAGTAAAGAACTAAGTGTGGGGGAGTTGATACGTTTGTAATTTCTGTGTGTTTATTTACGTTTTTAGTTAGTTTTGGTTGTTTAATATTTCGGAAATTACACACTTTTGGTGTAATAGTTAGTTTGTTAAATTCTTGTAAATTGTTTAGATTAGGTTTATTCTGAGCTTAAACAGGTCCAAGATCAATCAAATGATCATTGGTGAAGGAAGGTGCAAGAGTACAAGACAAAAAGAAGGAAAGTTCCTGATTTTGACCTGTACTCGGTCGAGTATACCTTATACTCGATCGAGTACCAATACTGATTTTCAAGGATCCGATCCGGGAACAAAGGAACATGCAAGGAAAGATTTGGCCACGTTCTATTGTTATACCCGATCGAGTACACCGACATACTCGATCGGGTATACATATAAATTATGCCCGAATATCGATCGAGTATGGATCGAATTCGAAGTTTTACACATACTCGATCGAGTATATGTATATACTCGATCGAGTACCCGACCTGCACCTCAAAAAGCCTATAAATACACCTCCTTCCCTCCACTTTTAGACACCAATTCACATATACTCTTTAGCTCAGTTTAGATTAGTGTTTTCTTTATATTTTCTATCATGTTTAGTCTCCAAATGAGGAGCTAAACTCTTCCATCTTGGTTTTGCTACTTTGAAGCTTAATGAATTTGTAAGTTGTGAGTTATTCTCTTTAATCTTCTTCCTTGAATATTAATTCTTCCTTTAAATACTATTTCTATATTAATGTTGGGGAGTGTTACTAAGATGACAATTAGTTAACATCTTGACATTAGTTATAGTAATAATTATTTCTTCCTCTACATTAATATTGGGGAGTGTTACTAAGATGACAATTAATTAACATCTTGATATTAACTATAGTAGGATTCATCTTCTTTAATATTCTTTCTTGAGTATTAATTAATTCCTATTCATATTTCATATTAATATTTTGAACATTACTTAAAGGATCAACTAGTTTTGTTTCATATATTAATTAATACTAGAATCGGTCGATTAATACGCTTGTTATTAATTCGGTCCTTTCATGGTAGTAAACTTGGATTATTAATGCATGCATCTCATGGTTAATAATCTAAGGGGAATTAATTATATTGATTAAACCAATAAACCGCTTGTGTTGAGGTTATCAATCTCAATCGTTTTCATCTTAAGTTTATTGCTACTATCAAGTTAATATACGGCGCTTGTTCTATATTGACTCGATAATAAGTTTTATTAATGAACGCTTCTCGTTATTAATAACTACCCTCGATGAACTGGATATACTCCTCGATTGAGTATTCGAGAGGAAGATAGTTAAAGATATAACCGGGATCGACGAACATTTCATTAAGTGGATAAAAGCAAAGCCAAGTCTTCTTCTCATTAATTAAACCACACAACTCGTTCATCTTCGTGCTTAAATATAATTTAAGTTCATAAACCAATCATAAAAACCCCCCTTGTTACTTATTTCTAATTCTATAAAAAGAGAAGTGTTCCTTTCCCTGTGGATACGAACCTTACTTCATTATACTACGTATAATTGTTGTATTGTATTATTATTTTGAGTGCACACCACGACAAAGTGCACGTCACCGATGAGAAAGGTCTTTCGCTCGCTGGCAATTTATCTTGGTCTCCATAAGAAAAAGAATCGAGGGCCGATACCCTTGAACAATATGAGTCACACCCTTCATTGTAGCCAAATTCCCCAACCCTCTACAATTCCAACTTATGATACTCATGATAAACAGACGAAAATAAGCCGCCGGACAACGTGGCCGAGAAGGTCACCGCCGGAAAAAATAACCTAGGCTAACCTTACGAGACGACCACCTCTGTGATGCTTAATTGACATAATTAAAAATATAAAAAATGAAATGTGCTTTAGAAAAGGTTGTTATAAATCTCGATGTCCCAATAAAGATAAACTCGGTGCATGAGCTTTCTACTAATAAAGATGGGGAGGAGATGGAATAGGGATTTGAAATTAAACCACATAGGAATACGATCCACATTTGATTGATTTTTGTTAAAACGAAATTCACACCACTGTGTGTGTCATTAAACAATCAGATTTGTTCTAGTGTGTTTGTTTCAGATTCTCTGTCTTATTTATGCTTGTTTTTTTATTAAAGTTTTGTCTTATGCTTTTGAAAGGTGTTTGTGGTCATTGTTTTCAAAATTGTTGTCCAAATTATAGAAGCTCTTGTTTTCAAGTGTAGAATATTTGTATTGTTTGTTTTCTATTCTTGACGTATATATTTTGGCAGGATTTGCAAGGAAAAAGATATATGAACTGATAGATTAAAGAGTTGAACATGCATAGGAATAACAGAGGGAACCATAAATTGAACTACTAAGCTACATCAGAATACTATTTACTTTATAAATATAGCAGAAGAGTAGCTAAAATAGATAATATTTCACTTTGTGAAAGCATGTGTAATTTATGAAATGAAGATGTATTCCAAGCATTCGGCGAATAAGTTTATAATAATAATAATATAAAAATGGATTATAGTGACACCAAATTAGTGTCACTAAAAGATTTTGTGACACTAAAAAGGTGTCAATGAAAGTAGGGGCTAGTGACACAAATAAAGTGTCAGAAAAGTGTCACAAAATTATGACACTATAGTATCACCAAATTATGACATCATGGTATCACAAAACTCAATGACACTATGATATCACAATACTCAATGACATTCCGGTATTACAAAACTCCATGACACGCTGTTTATTGTTATTGTTCTTAATTAACGTTGATGTTGCTCTCTCATGAAGATATCTGCAGACTGAGTATGGTGGTTAGGAATGATAATGGACCTTTTGTGGAGGCCATAAGGGAAACCTATAGACTCATAGAGTGATCAGTCATCAATGGAAGCTGATGCGGATCAGCAACGTCGGTTAGGGAGAAGATTATCTGAGCGTCAAGGGAATTAAGGTTATGAAAAGATTATCATTTTGAAAACAGACTAGTGTAACACCAGGGACATGCTCCCGGTAGTGTTAATTTGATATGAGTCAGGTGACAAATACTAACAAACGTTCTAAACTATTCATATGTTGTGTTCAAAATTTTGACTATAATCAATTTCTTTCACAATTTCTTTTATATTGTGGTTTGTGTTCTTATTGTTGTAATAGTTATTATAAATATTTATATGACTAATTATATGATGAGGGGTGCTAAGAAGAAGTGTTGAATTAGAATTGAGAATATGTGGAGTTTACAATTTTACATTATTTTGGATATTCACGTGTATTAATGGTGTTGTACGATTAGAGTCCCGTTCATGTGACATAAAGTTCCATTATGTAAAAATTTTGGTCTTGAATTCGAACCTCACTCAAATGTGTAAGATTAGTTTTGTATGATTAGAGTCCTACTACGTGCATTAGAGTCTCATTATTTAAAGAATGTATGTTGTACAATTATTTTCGAAACTCAATTGATATGATATTTATTTCGAGAATTATACTCTACTAATATGGTTGATATTAAGAAGTTGTTTTATACGCCTGGTATGAATATTTATGATTTGAAAATTTTAAGATATGGTATGTGACTGCACTATACAACACTTATACGTAGTATAGTGAAGTAAGGATCGTATCCACAGGGAAAAGAATATCTTTCTTCTAATTAAATTTTAACAAGGGGGGGGGGGGAGATCGATTTGATTAAATTAATTTAACACTAAGATGAATGACTTTGTAGTTTAGTAAAATAGAGATTGAGACTTGGTTAATTTTGCTTATTTCCACTTAATGAAATGTTCGTCGATCCCAGTTACATCTTTAACCATCTTCCTCTCGAATGCTCAACCATGGAGTATTCCCAATTCATCGAGGGTAGTTATTAATAACGAGACGCATTCATTAATAAAACATACTATCGAGCCAATATAGTAGCAATAAAACTTAGATGAATCGATTGAGATTGATAACATCACCACAAACGGTTTATTGGTTTAATCAATATAATTAATTCCCTTAGATTAATAACCATGAGACACATGCATTAATAATACAAGTTTACTGCCGTTGAAAGGACCAAACGATTAACAAGCCCCTATTCGTCGATCGATTCTAGTAATAATTAATATATGAAACAAAACTAGCTAGTTGATGCTTCAAGTAATGCTCAAATATTAAAATAGGTAGTATGAGATATAAAATAGGAATGTAATTAATATTCCATTTTTATAGGAAACCATTTTTTATTTACAACCATTTGTTATATTCGTAAAGATGGTCCTCATCATTATCATCGTCATCATGGTCATCACCTTATTCCCAATTATGTTAGGGGTGGCCTGCAATTTGGGTGTCCATCACTTATTGTTTAGAATACATATACACTATAAAGAAGGTGTTATGTGGGATTTAAGTGCATCAGTCTATACTCTTTGTTGTGATTGTCTTTTGCTCTTAGTTTTGACTACTAATCTATTAGATTACTATACTAATAGATTAAGTTATTACATTGAATATTTATTTATGGGAAAACTGTCAAATAGGTCCCCGTAGTATATCCAAAAAGTCAATTGAGTCCTCATACATACAAAAAATGATCAATTTGCACCCTTAGCCGGTTGACTCCTGGTAAGGGACAATATGCTTAGCTGGATGTATTTTGTTTCTTATTTGGAATATACATTGCCACTTAGATCCTAAAAATATACACCTAAAAAAAAAGCATCTCACTGCGTCATCTTCCTCGGTAGTACATTATTACATATACATTAATACATACATTCAACCTCAAGATTGATTTTTTGGATTGATTTGAAGAGATCTAGGAAAGCTCTCTTGCTTTTCGGAAATATTAATTGAAGAGATTTATAGATCTAATTATTATACATTTGTGAAAAATTTAAACCTGATCTACATGGTGTTGTAAAAATACATGTTCACCTAAGCAGAGAATGGATAAGAATTAAAAAGAAGAAAAGGAAAAAGAAATAGAAGAAAAGGTAGCAGAATA